GCTCCTGAGGATAGCACCTAGTGCCGTCGTGTTGGCCCGGAGACCCCTTGGGGTAGTGGCACTCACGCGGCACGAGCTCATAGATCCGCTCCAGGATCTCCCAAGACTGAACTTGAACTTGAACTTGGCGGAAGATCTCCTGCTGACTCTTAGGCTGTTCTTCTGGCTGTACCTCTCGGTTTCTGACTCAGTCTTCTGCAACTGGCAAGCTTCATTCCGTGCGTCGCTGTGCAACTGCCACTTGCAGCACTGATTGACGAACCACGCTTTGCCAGCCAACAGCTGCCTGGACTGCATGGACAGCTGCCTCACTTCATGCTGAGGCTCCCCATTTTGGGCGCTTCAACCTCTGCCCCATTCTGCCACCCTGGCCTGTCCGGGAGAGCCAAGTGAAAAGGCTTGTTGCGGAAACGTGCCCTGAGCAAGCCTGCTGCCAGACAAGCTTGGTGACGAGTCTTAGCATGACGTTGATGCGTCCTCTGGGCAAACCGACCAGGCCCTTACCAGGAAACAATCGGCCGCCCTTGCATGACACGTGCCGGCTCAGGGAATCATCTCTGACTCCTGCTTGTGAGACAACCGGGCCCTGAGACTCAAGCACCAAAGCAAACGCATCTGGATCTCTTTCTGGAATCTCCCTTTCCCGAAGCTCTATTAGTCAGAAAACAATTCCAGAGATCCAACAGCAAATGTATATGTTTGATCCATGCATTGAGTAATTCAACAATGAGTGTGCAAAGGATCTCAACGCTCTTCACTGAAAGCGCGGTTTGAAAGGGCATCCTAACGTAGACAAATACATCTTCTGCAACGTGACCGCGAAAGTTTGGTTAATATGAACAATTGAAGGCCCGAGCCAGCAACCTCAGTGAAACTGACCTAAAGAAGCTTGAAGGCCACTGGCCACAAAGCCCTTTTTCGCCTTGAGCGCCAAAGTGCGTCATCACCTGCGATGCCACATCCTCAGTTGCAAAAGTCCAGATTTTGTCAACTAGGCAGGCAGTGTTTACCATGCACTTTCTGTGCACACTTCGAAGTGTGGATGCCTCATAATCACTGCGGCAATGCAAATGTGCATGGAACAGCTGAAGGTAGCAATGCAGGCCATTAAGCGCTGAAGCTCATGAGACGTAATCCTTGACTCTTGATGGACAAGACCTCCATCCACTCGCAGAAATTAAGTAGCTAGAACCATATTTCAGACCGGATCAGACTGCAAAGTATTGCAGTTTTTGCAAATAGCACGGAAGAACTGCAGACTCTTCATGACTTGCTGAGTAGGTGGAAAGTACCTCTGCAGACTCTAAAGGCCAAAGTGGTCTACAGGCGTCTTCAGACGAAAGGTACACTCTGCCCAAGATAACTCTCATCTGAAAGCGTTTACCCAAGACAGAGCACAGCCACCTGCCAGCTTCCAAGGTCCAGGCGTCAAGTCTCGCAGAGACACCCTTGGAATCCTTGGAATCCTTGGACTTGATGATCTGGCAAATCTGTCCTCTGGATCGGGAGAGAGATCACGTGCTTCCCAGACATAGAAGGGGAATGGAAGCCTGTCTTGCAGCCACAGGCGGGAGGATTGGCAAAAGCATCGGATTGATGCGGCCGTCTCGTCTAAGAAACGCTGTTTCTTAGTGAGCCATCTTCAGCGAAGGCTCAAGAATGCAGAAACGGATACCTCCTACTAGAAAGTTTCCGCCGTTTTCGCTCAGAGCTCTGATTCCTAACTCTGTCAAACCTGACAAACAAGTCCAGTACTCCACCTCAGAACTTTTTGAAAATGTTCCTGCCCATGCAACAGTTGTCCTGCAAGTCGCAGCTGCTCTTTGCTGAGGCCCAGAAGCTTATTATCCAAGCCCAAGACTTCCTGGCCATCGGAGTGAAGAGCCGGAAGTTGGATAGCAGACAACAGAATGCAATGAGGATACGAAGGAATGTGCAAGCGCGCTGCATGGAGTGTCCAGTCTTGCCTCACCACAGCCACGCTCCACAGCAGCTGTAAGTGGCGACCGCAAGTCCTGCTCAAGATGCTCGGATAATGAGTGAATCTGATCGCAGAGGTCCAACAAACTTTCAACAGGTAGATTGGGCCTCCCTCGGGCTCAGGTTTCGGAAAGCGTTCCATAATTTGCTTTGCGCATCACGTTGATCACGTGTGTGCGTCGTACTTCAATATGCGGCGCAACATGCAGTCGGAAGTAAAACCTCGTCCCTGGAAAGCTGCCTTCTTTCAGCTTGATGGTGTGGATGAAAATTAGGCTCATAGAGATTTGCAAGAGATGGGGAGGATCGGGTATCGGGAGATCACGCTGGAAGATTTCATGGTCCTCAGTGACAGAGCGAAGGCTGCAGCAGGCCTGCAACAGACCATGCACGTGGACACCCCACATGACTCCAAATTTCTAAGAAAAATTGGCAGACCTAAGCCGGAAGCGTGAACGCATGATGCCACATTTGGCCTTATGAAGCTACAACTCTTTCGCTTAAAGCCTTTGACCACTTGAAACCTGCTGCCGCACGACTTTCAGCGCACAAGCTTTCCAAGCCATGCTGCTAATTCCCAGGAGTTCTCCCCTGCCGACAATCCCAGGCCTCAATGAGAGGCTGAACGCAGTTCCAGTGGCCACCGTCCATCGCCAAGCGCAGAGCTGTCCTGCAAACCCATTGAGTTTCAGCAGCGCTCAGCAGTTGCTGCATCATTCTTTAACAGGCAGACTGTCCCAGCGGCAGCTGCAACCTTTTCTTGTGTAACCAAACTCAGCTATCTATGAACAAGTCGCGTCTCAGGCCCCATAGGGAAAACCCTAGAACCTCGGTAGCCCCATAATGCCTACATCCTGTATAACCCCTGCGGTGAAATCTCCACACCCAACAAAAAATGTTGACAAAGCCATGACTCCGGGGACCTTCCCTGGCTGTCCACCGAGGCGAAGGCCTCAGAGTTGTTTCGTCCTTTACTACCCCGACTACGGCCTACGTTCATTAGTTATGAGTTTAACCAGCTTTGCCATTCTATTCAATCATGACTATCCACTCATCATTGTCACGATGGCCCTCTGCTTACATGGTTTGGGCTTGGCGTCTGTTGGAATCAGGGCCCTGTGAGGGAGCTTGACTCTGGCTTGCAATACAATCGGGAACCCGGGTACCTAATTGGAGTTTCCTCGAAGCCTGCCCACAAGTTAATGATGTGCTCACAGCGATGATATTCTGGAGCCTGGAGCCGCCAGTGTCAACACCTCTTTCAGCGATCTAACGCGCAGAATGATGAATGACTGAGCGACTAGCCTGCATAGCAGGAAGAGCGATGGTACTTGAAAGCAGGGCCGCCATCTAACCAAAGACCTGCTGGGTCCTTGTTCAACATGAGGAGGGCATGATCTGGAGCTGTCTCTGCACTTTTCCCTGATGGCTTCTCTGTGCGCGCACTGCAACCTCGAAAAAACAAGTTACCCCGCCCGATGGTTTTTGAGCTCTTCCACAGCTAATGAAGCCGAGTGCCCAGCCTGGGGAACCCCAGCAGCCGCAGACCAGCCCCTTGAGGGCCTTATCTTGCGGCTCTGGCCAAGTAGGCCGCAAGCATGGCATGCGGGTTGCAAATATGTCAGAGACAGCCAATGCGCATGTCCCACTGTGATAACAACATAGCGTTTCCCTGGGCTGACATTGCAGAACAGACCTTGATTTCTCTAAGCAGAAGCACATATTCAATGCGAGTCGGATAGGCCTGCACCAATCACGCAGCAACATGCATGCTTTTCAGATTAATCCTATAATTTTCGCACAGCAAACCTTTTAGCATAGCAAAGCAAAATCCAAAACCTTAAGCCACAAAACACAAAACACACTTGGAGGCATTGCTCGTGCCCAGTCTTGTGCCTCACTATTGTCCGAGTGCGGCATGTCGTGAGCTTTTTTGCTACCCTGCGCCACCTTTGTCATAGGAAAGGTCATGGAGCCTTGATCAATTCCTCCAAGCCCGAAATCCAGCAGCTTTCTTCAACCAAACCTCGAAAACTCGGCCCCCAAGCACAGAAAACCCTGCCGCAAAACCCTACTACCTAACACCCGACCCACACACACAAAAGAGAGCAAGCAAGGTTCTCTCAAAAGGGTCTAGGCAAAAACCTCTGGTACGCCACATCTCTTGGCTCCTCCGGCCCCGGCTTCAGGGCATCCATGGCATCCCAAGCTTGCTGTGCATCCGCATCTGCACCTTCCATGTCGTCAGTGGTGGAGTTAACTGCAAATGAAAGGCAGATCCGGATTACAAGACATTATACTTGCCCCCAGAGCCAGGTCCACAGCTGTTTGCCAAGAAGCTCTACCCTACGAGCCGTCTTTTCCTGGCAGGCAGGGCCCTGCTTGATGCCAAGGATACTGAACTTGCACCTAATACGCACTTGAGAAGTGCTCAGTGCGGACACATGGTTGTTTCTCAAAATCATCTCCCATTATGTTCTGACGCATTAGCACGGTATCATTTTGACGAGCGTCCATGATCTCCGTTTCACTATCACACACTGTGATAGGAATCCAACAAGTCGACAACCCCAAGAAAGAATCCCTAGACTGTCCCATTCTACCAACCCTTTTTCATAGACATCTTGGCGCCAGCCTGGAGACTGGCGGAGGTGTGAAACGATCCGCTGCACGAGGCTGCGGGCCATCAAGGCCTCAGAAGAAAGAAAGGAAAGAAGGGTAGAGTTTGGGGATGTTTGGGATCTTCGAGGACTAGGGATCCGCAGGGTCGTTAGGACTGACTTTGAGAGATGTTGGCTTTGGACGAGGCATGAAGCTTGTGAGCAAGCTTAGACTTCATCGGGGGCTCCGGAACAGTTCAGCGAGGTTCAATTCAATGTAATCATCTGTTGGGGATGCTTTGAAATACCTGACTCTAGGTTCCTCAAGCTCATGGAGCCTGTTAAAGCATGCGGGCATTGTAGCTGAGCTGTGTTGGAGATTGCTCTCTTTCTCCTAATGCAAGGCTCTTCACGCCATGCCAGGCAGACCACCACCCACTGAAATTAAGGGCATAGCTGGATAACACGAGACTTGTAAATGACTGGCCGGTCAGTGCGTGTTCGCATGTTCGCATAGTGTTGCACAATGAACCACAAGATCTGAGGCCATGAGCATTGTTCAACATTCTACGTACAATTTCCGGGCTGAGTCAGCATGATCGACATAGGCTGTAGCTTGACTGACCCCACGTTTGTAGGATCCGAAAGGCATGCAGATTCCATCTGAACTGGGCCGGTCATGCACTGTTCCAAGCCCCAGCTGCATCTTGAAGTTTGTTCTGCTCAATCCGAAGAAGCAATGTGGACAACATGAGCCAAGGTTCCCGCAACAATGTTGAAACTCAGCGCATCTAACATATTCATATACAGCGCTTTGGGCAAGCCCAGGGCATCGAACGGCACGAAGTGTACGCATGCTAACACTTGCTCCCACCAACCCTGACTTCAAAATCAAAGGCGTTCAACGCCGAAAGCCTGAATCAGTTTCTCCGTATCCGCTCTTTCAGACAGCGCGCATCCATAAATCATCATTCCTACTTAAACGTAAACGCTGCACAATCCCTCTGCAACTCCTACAGGCAATCATTCTGCAGCTCGATCCCCTGGAGGCCTGCGCCTCTGCGGAGAAGAGCCGGCCGATGCTAAGCACCGCCGTAGCCATCTGCTTCTGGTGGTCCTGCTATGGGATCACAAAGGGCGCAGAGGGCCTTGGCAGCCTTCCGGGCCTGGATGCCTACTTTGTTGTGCTTGCCTTTATTTATGGTGGAGAGCGATCAAGGATACACCGGAGAATACCAGGTCCGGGGAGTAAGGTCCCACATACCTGTGCGCGCACACGCACACACACACACCAGTTGCTACATTGGATCCTGTCCCAACATTAAAGGGCGACCAATATCCTGCACTAAGTGTTTGTCGGGGGGCTTTGATGTCAGAAAGCCATATACCTGCCTGAATTGCTGTAGACTCTACACCTCTAGCAAGCCCCTCCTTGGCCGAGAAGAGTGGCACGTGGCCCGGCAGAATCGGCACGGGTAGGGGCTCCGACACGACGAAGGCCTGGGAAGGCTGTACAGGGCCGGCTTGGCACAAAACAGCGTTGACGGGCTTCGCGTCGAAAGGGTTTGGGGCTTCTGAGCTTTCTCCAAGGCTTGGAGGTTACCTGACTGAGAGTATGTGAGGGTGGAGATCTTTGGGACCTGAGTGCGGAATTTGACTTAGCAGAACCCATCGATGAAAGCCCGCTACATCGTGGAGTCAAGCACTCCTTTTTGCACTGTCTGTTGAGGCGAGGTCCGGGATCCGAAATTCCCAGAGCTCCGCCGCGGGCTCCTCGAGGCTTGGTTTCACCTGCGGTCGCCCGGTCCGCCTCCGCCGGCCTTCGATGTCGAAGTCGCGCCTCAACACCTGCAGGGCTCGACAGCTTTCCTCAAGCAAGGCTAACGAATCAGTTTTGAGGCAAAAGGAGCCTGGCCTGGGTGATTTGGATGGAGCTGTTCGAGTCTCGGAGCGCCTCTCTGAGGGGATGCTCATGGACGTAGCCCCGGTTGAAGGCGTGGTTGGAGAAGAGGACCACGGCCCTGCCACCCGGGTTCAGCACTTCAGGCAAACCCTCGAAGAAGCGTCGGAAAAGATCCGACGAGTAGAAGTTCCCCAGATCCAGCACAGTCCTGGGAGGCTCGTTGGCCGAGGGCGTCGGCAGCGGTAGCCATGGTGGGTTGAAGACCACCAAATCAAACCTCTGGCCTTCCAACCCTTCGAAGAGGTCTGAGCAAAGCACCTTGAAGCCCACGATGCCATGGCGTTTAAATTCCTCCTGGGCCCCATACACAGCATTGGGGCTCACATCAGTAGCCACGACATCCGGGATGCCGGCAAGCTGCCGCAGGACTAAGGCCACCACACCACACCCGGTACCCAGGTCCAGGGCGTTTGTTGGGCGGCTGCTGCAGTTCTGCAACCACTCAATTAACATCTCAAAGTGCGTCACCGGGTGTGGGTATGCATAGACACCGTAGAAGGGTCGCACTGGTCCTGAGAGCACCGGCGGTGCCAGGAATGGAAATCGCACACCACCCTCAAAGTATTGCCAGGCATTGGCCAGGCCCATCAGTACACCTGAGGGGAGCGCAAACTGCCGGCCACCTCCAAAAAGATCACCATACCTTAGCGACTCATCCACAGGATTGGAAACCGAATACATCGCAAGTCCGAACAACGGGAATGGAATGGAATGGAGTCTTGACTTCAATTTCAAAAATGGGTCACAATGTCAGTAAGAAGTCAGCTCGCGGAGCACCTTGAAGAGCAATGCGTCCTTGCACTACCCGACCCAGCAATCGATCAGACAGCTGCTTTTTGAGAGTTCGCTGCTTTTCTGCTTCCTTTGCATTAGCAGGAGCCCGCTTCAATGGCTTAAGGACCGCGGCCCGACATCTCTCCAGGTCACGCCAGTGACCCACCACCAGGGCACGACCTCCTTCGGTGATCCAGCGAACAGCCTCCTCGATGTCCGACCCTTTGTCTACCAATAGCGCACCTTCTGCTTTCAGCTCGTCGATGTCAACTGCCTCGGGCCGAACAAGCCCAGGCACGAAGGCTGGGGCGGGAGGGGCGGTTCTCCTCGCTTCGGTCACAGCATTTGGAGCTTCCCGCTGCATGGGCCTAGACTTTGCACCCGGCCTTGCGCGTGCTCTTGCTGCACGTGTGCCACGCGAGCTGGGCCTCCTTCGGGCTGTCGGAGCCTGGGGGGAACAGGCCACAGCCACATGGAGCCTGCGCGACCCTGCATCAAACAGCCAACACCTCGCCCCAGCAGCGAGCAGAATCACGCCACCCACCCGAGCCACCCAGATGCTTTTTGTCTTGCAGCGCTCATCTGGCCACACCACCCGCATGGAGTTCTACAGCACTTTCATCCGATGGCCGCACATGAGGATAGGATCGCCAAATGAGCCGAGCTGCGGCAACTCAGCCATTTGTGCGCGCAGCATGTGTCAAAACTGCAGTGATGACTTCTGACATCTTTTGACTAGGCCGCCAGCGTTGGGACCCACAATGCCAGTGGTAACCACCTGCGCTGGGAGACTCGTGGCAGCGAGTGTCAGCTGGTGCAATGTCACACACAAACTAATCCGAGCTCTCCTATAGTAACGGTCCCCCGCCCCACTCCCCCGACTAAAAAACCGTAAGACAACGAACGAAAAAAAGTACAGTTGCATAGAATCAGGGATAATGGTCCCAAGTGGAAGAGCTGCAGACTTTTCAGTTTTCAGACTCCACACCTAAAACCACCTCTAACCTAAACCTTCCCAGAAGGTTTTGTTCTACCGACATACCTCTGCTGTATGAAGTAGTCTTTGATCCTGAAAACAACTGTGCGCAAATCCAGGGGGTTTTATCTACTTCAGCTCAGAATAGTTGGAGCGGGTGAGCAGGTCCGGTGAAGTACTGGTCGTTACCAGTCCAGACCAAACATGCGCAACGTACACGTACTCCAGTTGGGATAAGGTGGTTATGGAAGACGAGCTACACATCAACTTCTCGATGTGCCTCACTACAGACACAGACGAATTGCTGACACACACGGACACACAGGGGCGAGTTAGAACAATAAAGCCGCAGGCTTCTCGACTTTTCCTGCGACCGGCCGACCTCGAGATCGGCCACGGGGGCCCGTGAGATGTCAGGCAACCCTCCCAAGCATGGATACTTGCAGAACTCCACCGGGCTGTCGAGCGTCATGAAAGCCTGCCGCTGGTTTGCTGGCTCTCGCAGGCAAGCAAGATCCCTGTACAAGAAGATTGCCGCCCGCATCATGGTCTCAGGAAAAGTCATAAATGTGGTGTTGGCTCATTTCCTTTGAATCAAGGGGTAGCAAGAGCATGTACACACCTGGGTGAAGACAGACTTGTAGATGCTCCGTAAAATGGCATATGTCACAGCATCACCTAAAAAACGCATGTATCCTTTGCAAGCAGACTTCTCTTGATGGAAGCTAAACACGGAACGTGCACCAGCATGTCTGCTGGTGGGGCTTCCAGACCTATAAACCCTACGATGCTGAAAGGTGCAAAGCTTTGGCTGTCATGATTGTGTTTTACCTGTTCATCTACACTGCCGGACGGACAAGTGACACTTATGTAGCTCAAGAACCTGGCCTTTCCACTACCCCGGAAATCCGAACTCCTGTGTTCTGATCATCCACGGAAATTGCAGTTGGGGATAGCGGTGCCTGCCCGTGCGAGGTGTACCACAGGCCGTCGCAGCATTGAAGCTCCTCGGGGATGCTGGCGACTTCAAACAGCCCGCTGCAGAGGCCTTGTGGTGGAGAAGGCTGAGAGGTGCTTCGAGCAAGCCCCTTTGAGAGTTCATGTAGGACAGGATCTATGGATTGAAGAAGTTGAACTGAAGCAGGAACCATCTGTTTGGCTACTCGCCTTCTCAAAATATCCTTGGCCCGCAAACCTACACAGCCAACAAAAAACATAATACCACTGCTGCCATGTCTTTGCTTCACTAAACGCTTGCAAATACCCAAACATTCCACAAGGTTTTGTAAGACTTCGCGTTTGAGAAGGAGCGTGTGCTCCTTTTCATGGCAGTACACAGCTTTCGATTTTACGGCATCATTGTTGCTCCCGCTTTTCATTCTGCTACTACGCAATTGCCGTTGGTACCATGTGCGCTGCTGCTGCTGCTGCTGCTCCTCCTCCTCCTCCTCCTTCTCCTCCTTCACTTCCGGCACCCGACATTCTACAACTGCGCATTCAAGCGTCGGTCCAAATCCACACACGTTCAAAACACAAGCTTCCTGTCAAGCAAACTTTCCTGACTTTGCCCACATTATGATTCTCAACCTGGGGACACAACGTTTGGTGGTTGGGGCCTCCCTAGTTCATGCTGGAATTTTATTGATCTCTTTTCTTCGCAGGTGGTGTCCTGAACGCCTTAGGATTTGTTTGGATGGGGTTGTCTTGAGCTCGAAACATGTTGAAATCAATCATGGCAAAAGCTGGGAACTTCGCAGGAGGTTCCGTGGCTGGGATGCTTTTGAAAGCACGCATAACGGCTGGGATTTAGGAGCTGAGAAGACCCTTGGCTAGTTGACGTCACCAATCCCCCATGCCAACTCTGGTGCTACACCAAAAGCTCTGCGTACAAGCGGCGCTTGCCGCGCCGGGCTGTCGGTTACAGTGGAATTTGCAGTGGAATTTCTGTGGAACTTTCTAGAAAGCATTTCTGACCTTACGAATTTTCGCAGAAACTTCTCCGCATGTTTTGACCCACACTTCGCTGAACCAGCGCTGGTACGTCTGGTAACGTTGCAGAGCATTCGCGACCTACACTTTCGCAGCACCTGTTTTGCATCTCTGGTGGCAATTTGTAGCCGCACCCATGCCAGCAACAAGCTGGATTCAGCAGTTGCATCCGCCGGCTTCTCAACATTGAGCAACTGCGTTGAGTCTGCCATACGCCGCGCTCGGCCACGGTACCCAAGACAAAATTTTGTAGAATCAATCTTCCTCGAAACTTCGCTCAGCAAGGAATCATCCTTAAAAGCTTTGTTGAACATCCGCATTACGCGCTCCCCTCATAATCCTTGTCCTTTTAGAACCCGATCAGCCCTGTTCTTTCAACATCCCTGAAGCTGGCTGCCCAAGCACTGAAACGGACATAGCAGTCGCGCACCATCTGGCAAAACTGCCCTCATGGACCTCGCTGTCCTGCAAGCCGGATTTAGGGTCAGCTAAGTAGCTTCAGCTACATCCACAAACTTGCAGAGAACAAAAAAGAGAGCAGCTTCCCCCTACAAAGTGCCACAGGAACAACAACAACAACAACAACAACAACAACAAAGATGGCGCGTGTAATCGGGAAGTTCATTCCAGTGGTGCAATTCTGTGTTCATGTTTCTGGGGCCTCCACAGATGTGGAGCATCATGGACCTAGCTACAGTCAGTTCTTTCGTGTCCTTTCAACATTGAAGGTGTGTTCTGCTGCCCTATCCTCACAGCCTCTCCCCTCAGAAAGCGTAGCTTGATCAGGCCATGCTGAGGAAATGGACTGTTGCAAACAGACGTGCAAGTGCTTCTTGATTAATTACGGTTGCTGCGGCTTCTGATCTTGCCGGTGTGTGTTTTGCTGTGCATTGAGTTTTGTTGTGCATTCGTGCGGTGCTTCAACAAAAACACGGGCTGGGGTTTGCCATGTGCTTACATAGATAGAGTCCCGGCGTGCGATTGCAGAGAAAAACACGGGTTCTTCTGATGTTGGGCAGAGTGCCCCCAACGCCGCACAAGCTGTGTGGCGCTACATGGTAGCACTGGCAGATAAGGAAGCCAAAAGAAGACTGACATGCGGATGACACGTCTAGTGTCTTGTTTTACAAAGCGGCTTGAGATTCGCCTTTGCCAAGACCTGTCATTCCCCTCTTGAAAGGCACGTAAAACTGAGGATGGACTGAACGACAGTCTGGCCGAAAGGACGCGCTCCGCTCTCCAGCAGCAATTGCTGGACTTCTTTGTGGCCGTAGGAGACTGCTACACCCAATGGCGTCCGCGGCCACCAAGCGAAGGTGTTCAGAACCTTCCCTATGTCGGCCCCAGACTGCAGCAGCACCCTCACGGCATCTGCGTTGCCTTTCCAGCAAGCAAGAGCCATAGGTGTAGCTGTAGGAAATCCGAACTCCACAATGCCCATGTCTAGGTCAGCGCGAGCATCCACCAGCAAGCGCACAATCTCTGCATTTCCTCTTCCGCATGCTAAGCCCAGGGGTGTCTTCTCCCGATACCAGCCAACAAAGCTTCCCACGTCTGTTCGAGCACCCGACTCCAGAAGCAATTGCACGACATTTGCGTGGCTGTGGAGGGACGCCAAGGCAAGTGGTGTTGCGGTGTGGCGCCAATAGGATTTTCCCACCTGGTGCAGGTCAGCACGGTCTAAAATCAGCATGCGAACGACTTCTGCATGGCCGCCGCGTGCTGCTAGGCCCAAAGGAGTCGCAAGGATGCCCACGGCCCCGGAGATCTCATCCTTGGCTACTTCTGCATCCAGCAGCAGTCGCACGACATCTACGTGGCCTTGGCTGGATGCCAAAGCTATCGCTGCTTCACCATCTTTGCCATCTTTGTCAGCCCCAGAGTCCAGAAGCACTCTCACAACTGGCACATGGCCCTCTCTAGCTGCGAAACCTATGGCTGTTGCGCGAAGCCGCCTGCCCTCACAGACCTTGTCTTTGTCGGCACCAGCCTCGAGGAGGAGCTCCACAATGTTCAAGTGACCTCTGCTTGAAGCCAACGCCAATGGTGCAGCGCTGGCTTTTCCGTCCTTGTCGGCCCTGGCCTCCAACAGGAATCGAACAACTTCTGCATGGCCATGCAAAGATGCCGAACCAATTGGGGTCAAACTAAAACCTTCCACCTGACATACATTATCTCGCTCAGCGCCGGCCTGAAGAAGAATTTGGATGATGTGCAGATGCCCCTCACGGGATGCCAAGGTCAGAGGTGCCACGCCGCTGCACCCATCCTTGTCAGCCCCAGCCTCCAACAGCAGGTGCACCAAGGCCCGCTCCCCAGCGAGAGATGCCAAGGCAAGGGGTGATGCTTTCGCAGCAGCCACACATGACAATAACTTCGCGCCTGCAGTTGAGGATAGCTGGTCAACGTCATGGCCTGCCTCCAAGAGCAGGCGCACGGTATGTACACGTCCTGCGCCAGATGCTAAGGCCAGAGGTGTGCAGCCATCGCACTCCTCCTTAGTGGACCCAGCTTGCAGCAGCAGCTGAACAGCTTCCCGGTGGCCAGCTTTGGCCGCATGGCCCAAAGCCGTCATCCTCACAGAACCAACCTGCGCAGTTTGCTCCAAGCTAGCTCTGGCATCCAACAGCACTTGCAAAACCTTCATGTGCCCGCGGCCTGAAGCCAGCACAAGGGGCCCATCACCACCAGCTGCGTCCGTGTCAGCCCCGCTTTCCAACAGTGCTTGCAGGGCTTCCAGACGGCCTTGAGCGGCTGCAAAGCCAAGGGCTGTGGTGTCGTAGCTGCCGATTCGGGAAAGCACATTCTTGTCGGCGCCAGCTCTCAACAGCATATCAACGACTTCCATGTGACCATGAAAGCAGGCCAGGCCTAGAGGGGTTGCGCTTTCGCGCTTGCCACTATCAGACACTGCGACCCTGTCCTTGTCGCAGCCAACCTCCATTAGCAAACGCGTAATTGCAACTTGCCCTTCGGCTGATGCAAAACCAAGAGCTGTTGAGTGAATTCGCCCGCCATCAGAAGCCCTGTCTCTGTCTGCACGAGCTTCCAAAAGGAGACTTACCAAGCCTTTGTGGCCCGTGCAGGCAGCTAGGGCCAGAGGTGCAGTACCGTGTAATCCATCTGGATCAGCTCTGGCTTCCAATAACAAGCTCGCAATGTCCATGTGGCCTGTACTGGATGCCAATCCCAGAGGTGTCGCATGTTTGCGGTCGACGGCGGAGACTACCTCCATATTTGCACAGAGGCTCAAGAGGAATCGAACGATGTCTGTGCGGCCTCTCCATGAAGCCAAGCCAAGGGCTGTTGCACTATGGCTTCGGCTTTCACCTTGCATGACAATGTTGAGGTCAGCCGTGGACTCCACGAGCAACTTCACAACTTCCATGTGACCTTCACTTGATGCTAAACCAAGTGGCGTTGTGTACGCAAAGCGGGCATCTACAATCTTGTCCTTGTCTGCCCCAGCTTCCAAGAGAACAAGTGAAACACCTACGTGCCCCTTGCCTGCTGCAACGGATAGCGGTGTCTTACCACCAAATGTGACGTCTGGATGACGAGGTTGCTGAAGTATGCTCTCAACCTTCTGCACAGACCCATTCTCTGCGGCTCGGGCAAACTCTGCTGCCTCCTCGAGACATGCTCCATCAATAATTGGCAAAACCACCAGCTGCAGATTAGTCGTACAAGTTTCTGCACCGTCGTCCAGCCTGTCCACATCTTCCAGCCTCGCGCCGTCATCCCGCAGAAGCACCTGCCTGAAACGTGGAACACCGCACTGCTGATGGAGACGTTGCTTTAACTCGCGGACAGAGTTGATCTCAGCTTGAGGGACCGTGGCCAGGAGCTTGCCTGACAGTTGGCAGACATGAATCATCGGGCAGTCGTCCGCCTGGGAAGCTTGAGATAACGTGCTGCTGATGCGGAGTTCATGTTCTCTCGTCCACTCCAACTACTCCCTACATCTCTCCCTGATGAGGCCACAACCCATTTAAGAGCTGATGGCAACAGCGGAAAACAGTGAAGAAAGCGCTGCAGCGATTGGCACAACTGCGAAAGCCCACTACTGTCCCTGCCAGTCAGGGGACACTTCTTCTGATAACGACCACGAAGGCAATGTGTAGTCATGGGCCTTTGAAGATGTTTCCATATGCTGCAAAATGCTTGGGCCCTGCAGAAATCGTTGTGAAGGAAAACCGGTGACAAGCCTCTTGTCCACACTCCGAACTCATGCTTCCAAGGTATGAGAACGGGAATCTTGGTGGCTTGCAGGCCCTGGCTTTTCAGGCTCTTTGGCAGGTTGTGTAGGTCGAACCATTCCATGCCCTTCGGGTGTACGCCGAGCATGAAAGTGTATGCGTCTTATCAAACTTTTGGCACTAACGATCCTCAAACTTTCACTCAAAGACCTTTCCAGCCACCTGTCCTGCCAGGCAGAATGCCACGGATCTTGAAGGGACACTGGGTAAGCTGCGAGACTTCGTGTGCCTCTGGACTCTGGAGACAACGCAACTGCTACAATGTTGGCCACACACACACACACACTCCGTTCTCAAAGAGGCAATACCTTACGAGAAACAATCTTTGCTAGCTTTGATTTCTTGGTTGGAGAACAAAGGCACCCTTAGTGATTTTCTTGGTAGGCCTGAGATTTTGCAGATACCGAAGAGGCACGATCTGGGGAGATCTTCACGAAGATCTACCAATATTGCCCGCACTTGCGGAGCTTGCTCTTTGCTTGCACAGCTTACTCTTACACAAGGCTGCGTTTTTTTAAAAGGAGGACCATTTGATGATGCCCAGACCGTGGCCAGAGACCACCTAACGCTGTACACTGAGTCACTGAGTAATGAACGTCACGATTCTGCAGAGGATGCAAACTTTACGCAGGAGAAGAGCAACTGCAGCTACTAGAGTCCAGCTCAGTATCAGCCTCTGCCCTAAGACCAATCCGACACCATTGCCATTGTAGAGACATCAGCATCCTCGCATCTAAATGGCTGTCAAATTTGTGTTCGTAAAGAGAAGCCAGGGTTCCTCAAGCAGATCACTCACGGACTGCAAGTGCAGAACCCGATAACATTGTGGGGTCATGTGCATGGGTTATTGCTGCAGGTTCTCCTGCTAAGTACAACGCGACCCAAATTGTCGTAGATGGCTATGTCACAAGTTTCCCACAGACACACTGTCCAACACGACTGCACATAGTCCTGTGAAGCGAAGCTTACGTGCCATCTTTGCCAAAAGCATATCCTCTACTTCCAGCTGAGTTGCCACAGGAGTAGCTTTGCTCAGACAAGCCCAACCTGCCGTACACGGTGGTGATGCACCTTGTGGCGGCTTGAGATTAAGGATGCAAGGTCTAGAGTCTCGACACCGGATGTGCAATACATGTACACATGCTGTCAACTATTCAGGTTGACATGCCAGAGAATGCGTCGTGTAAACGCTGGTGGAAACAACGGATTTGGGGGACCTGCATGTGAAGTTGCAATCCATGCGGTTCTCAAGGCAGCATAACATCTTCCACCAACGCAGAAGACTTTGATTCCAATTCAGTTGTGCTTTGAGGCGCAGGTTCGGTCTTTCTTGCAGCGTGTCCTGGTCAATGGCTTCCGTTGAACCATCTATACCTTGGCAATGCCTCAGAAAGAATGCCTCTGCATCACAGAGGCCACATGCTTTGCAACGACAGCTCTGCCCTTGCCTTGAACGTGCAAGGGTCTTGTGAAACACATTTACACATCCTCTCATCCAAGGCTACCTCCAGCCCCAAAAAAGGATCAAATCGACACATAATCGTCTTCCGGCGCAGGCGGCGCCAGCTTTCCAGCATGACCCTCCAATACTCCCGTCTGGTCAGGAGAGGAGTGTTTTAGGGGATTACGCGCAAAGAGTAAGCGAACCAGCATGGGACCCAGAGCGGGTATGCGCGAGGTGCGCGCAGGCCCAGCAAAAGCCACAAGTATGATCAGGGGACAGACTATGCCGTTCAATATGGCGTCATACCATCGGCCACCAATAATTCCAAGAAACCCTGGAATAAACAGCAAAAGAGCTGACTGCGTTCTCTCTGCGAAGGGTCCTCGATCTCGAGGTAATAAAGGGAGGCCTATAACAACAATGATAGCTTCAGTTGCAGCAGCATAAGGGATCCATTGAAACCCTTGCTCCATCCTCCACAGAGCCGTATTGAACGCCTGCGCTACCCAGAAAGTAAGGGTAGTGGTGAAGATGCTGCGGCTCCAGTTGGAAGCATTTCCCAAGGATCCCGCGTGCGCCGTGGCGAGGCGCAACTCTGGGGTGGACAAATTCATCCGAAGCAGCACAGCCACAGTCGCATCGACAGCCCTTTCCGCTCCACTTTGCTCAATGGTGTTGCGTATCCGCATGCCATCGGCCGGATTCCTTGGTCATATGTGTCCAAGATGTCAACAAGGGCTATACATTTCTTTACATGCTCGTTTTCCATAATGCTCTCTGTACAAAAACTGGACAGGCCCAGGTTCGAGGTAGTTGCATCTCGTATCGTCCCAGTGAAGCCCTCTCGCAGCTGCCTGGCTTGCTTCGCAGCTTCGATGCCCAGTAAACGATCGCACTCCATGGCCCAGAAACAAAACGGAAACATCAGGAAAGGGACAAAGTATGGCGGCCTCCTGAAAGATGTCTGGAATATGTTGGTCGCCAGGTAGCCTGCTGCAAAAGCGCTGCATGCAAATACAGCAGCTTTGGTGGTCTTCCAGTGATGCTTGCCAGTTACCATCAAATATGCAAAGAAGCAGGCACTGATGGCGGCCAGCCCTCCGAAAATGTACGCTGCGACTGCGATCTGAGCAGCGCTCCAGAGAGCCCAGTTTCTGTTCCCATGCATCATCATGCAGAAGCAAACACCCAACATCAGTACGGACCAACTTGCTGCCCGCAACGACATTGCCCAAAAGTGGGATGGCGGAGATGTGGCAGTATAAATTGCCTTACCCCAAGAAAATGCAAGGTAGGCTTCAAAGACGCACCAGGCCCTCGTGTAGATGCTTTTTTTGTGGTTGGGTGCTGCCAGCACTTGTGATGCAGACCCCAATGCCTTTGCAAAGGGCGAATCCTCTGGACGTTCAATCATCTCTGCAATGTCCAAGTTCTGCGGGGTGGACAGAAAGCAAACATAGGCAGCTTTCGCGCCAAAGGGCCACGAGTTTACCACTTGGTCAACGAACTCGAAAACACCCTCCGCCCAGCCATGCGTTATGAACAGATCGCATTTCAAGCCCTCTGGGTGCAGCATCAAGGCCCAGCTTGGGTTACCAGCAGCAGCTGTTACTGGCTGGATATACTGCATGTTGACAGTGTACATGGAAGGGCCGATACTTGTGTCTTCTGTATCGAACGGGTCTTGGTCGGTAGGTTTGATCACCCCGTCGGCAATAGCATGCCGGACGAGGCGCCGAAACTGCCTGAGGTCCTTGAGCGTTACGCACCACTTGTGTTTCCCGACAGTCTGGTGAAGCCTTTCTCCATCGTGCACTCTGGGCCTCTCGGTAACGGCGATGTCCTCTTTTGTAAGGGGCTCCAGCCCGTTGCAGTAGTTCATGACGTATGTGCACACCGCCATGCCAATGAGGCCCATGCACAGAAGGGCGACAGAAAGTATACCTGCATACTTATCCTCCCCGCAGCTGCTTGGGCTGTTGCCGAGACAGCAGGTAAACTCATATCCACGGCTAACACCAGGAGACCAGCCCTCTTTCCCAACAGGGTAGTAGCCATCGGTGCATGCGCAGGGGTCTGCAGGTCTTCCAGCAATACAGTCTAGGGCATGGTTGGTGCAGGCCCAAGGTGCTTCCGGGCCATTCGGACATACCGACGCAAAGCATATAGGGATGTGGCTGACTGATGTGGATGCGACAAGAAGTCGCTGAATTTTGTGCAAGGAGCTTGCCATCTGTCACAGGCACCAGTGAAACTGGAAATACTTGTGTTCGATAATGCTTCAACGGAGTTGAATGCCTGAACACCTGTCATCTTGTCAAGGACAAGAGGAAACCCGAGGCATTGTTGCAAATCAAAGTCATGACTGCAGTCTGAAAAGCTGTCTTGCAACCCCTTTGCCGCGAGCTTACAAACCACCATTGCTTATGTCAATCCCGATGACAGGATGTGTGATATGGCTGAAGCAGGGCAACGCGCAAGAAAGGCTTACCGGAACTGCACGCATTCCAGAGTTACAACATTTTGCGAACTCGCGCAATGCTAAACTGATCTAAACTGTGTACTGGGTTTCGGTACCTGGAGACTTCGCAGGCCGTCATCTGAACCGCTCGGTGATCTCGAGGCACACAGAGCGTCAAACCTCAGCACTGCGGTAGCCGTCTAGGCGTGGATTCAAGGTTGAGGTCGAGGAATGTGGTCTTAGAAGTCAGATCTGGAAGTGGGTCGTGTCACATGAAAAGCAGAGGTCCCAATGTTCTGTCAACACATGCATACACCTTCTAGAAATGCTGCAGCATGCTGCAGCCCATTCAAGGCAGGCGGCGCCAAGTACATATGCTGGGCGATCACTGGCTTGTAGTTGGTCGACCTCGCAGAGGCTCCAAGTTCATGCCATGTATTTCTTCCAACCTTACAGCATCCCAGCACAAAGGGTCGCCAGCAGTCTTAGAAGCCCTTAAAAAATCCTGCAAGACGAGATGGCAACACCAACGACCCAGCATTCCGTTTCTTCTTGAGATTGGCCCTCAGCCACTAATTCTTAAAAGGGCATTTATTGAATTAAAATCAAGAAGCTTTTCAGAACCACAAATATGCCATCAATTTCTGAGACGATCCTGGGACGGCAGAATATTCAGACAACAGCCACCCCATAGCAATAGACCATCGACGATGGACACATTTTAATGCAACTCTTTGACATCCCCCCAAAATTTATGAGGCTTGGGCATAGGGCTTAGGGACCCCACCCTGGTAACACACTCATGCCTTGAACGCAACCACCAGAAACCCGCTGCGCACTTACGACAAGTGCAGGCCGACTGTGTGTAGCTAGTCCGGGTCTATAGGATTCAAGGTCCAGTGCTGAGGAAATTCAAATGAATTCAGCCTCTGTTTGTCGCTAAACAGCATGGCTTGTTTATTGAGCTTCAGGCCACAGAAACTGAAAGAAATAACCTCGGGAGATGTGCAAATCAAACTCTGCGCCTCTGGGGCGTGCGGCAAGGCAG